TGAAGCCCCTCTGAGCAAACCCAGCTGCTTGAAGACCCTGAAGGTGAGCTTAAGTGACAGGAAAGGGCTTGTCAAGGACAGAGAAAAGAGAAGTCGGTTTGTTAGAAGCCACTAGTGGAGTAGCTGAGCCCAAATGAGTTAAGGAGATATTTTGAATAGTGCCTGCTATGTAATTGAGCACTCTAGAAAGGTCTGCCGTTCTTTTTTATTATCATCAAAGATTCTGGGTCAGACAGAACTGGGTGTGGAGCCAACACCATCTGTCACATGGAAATGATAACACCTAGTTACATCACCTCATTGGGAGAGATCACCACCATCATTATTACATCACACAGAGGTGCCTTGGCCAGCTGGCTCAGTTGGTTAGAGTGTTGTCCCTTGCACCAAAAGGTTACAGGTCCGATTCCCAGTCAGGGTACATACCTAGATTCTGGTCCAATCCCCAGTGGGGTTTGTACAGGAGGTAGCTGATCAATGTCTCTCTCTCTCTCTCTCTCTCTCTCTCTCTCTCTCTCTCTCTCTCTCTCTCTCTCCTGTATCTCTCCTTCTTTCAAATCAATAAAAACATATCCTAAGGTGCAGATTAAATTTTTTAAAAATCAGCCCTGGCCAGGTGGTTCAGATGGTTGGAGCATCATCCTGTGCACCAAAAGATTGTCGGTTCGATTCCCAGTCAGGGCACATGCCTGGGTTGTGGCTCAATCTCTGGTAAGGGCCATACAGGAGGCAGCCAATCGATGTTTCTCTCTCTCTCTCTCTCTCTCTCTCTCTCTCTCTCTCCCCTCTCCCTTCCTCTCTCTCTAAAAATCAATAAAAAACTATTCTTTAAAAAAACCATTTTTTTATTGATTTTTTACAGAGAGGAAGGGAGAGGGATAGAGAGTCAGAAACATCAATGAGAGAAACATTGATCAGCTGCCTCCTGCACACCCCCCACTGGGGATGTGCCCGCAACCAAGGTACATGCCCTTGACCGGAATCAAACCTCAAGGAATCAAACCTGGGACCCTTCAGTCCACAGGCCGATGCCCTATTCACTGAGCCAAACCGGTTAGGGCAAACATTTTGTTTTTTAAAATATATTTTTATTGATTTCATAGAGGAAGGGAGAGGGAACAATAGAAACATCAATGATGAGAAAGAACCATTGATTGGCCCCCTGCTAGGGATTGATCCCACAATCCGGGCATGTGCCCTTGACTGGAATCTAACCCAGGACCCTTCAGTCCACAGGCCAATGCTCTATCCACTGAGCCAAACCAGCTAGGCTAAAAAAACATTTTCAATCATACAGAGGTGATGGTATTAATATGTGTGCTAAAATAATATCATATATGGTAACAGTGACAGTAAATTACCTAGATACCATTTGATACCATTTCCGCTCTTCAGAGCTTTTTATTTTCTAAACATTCTCTTTTTTTCTCCATTCACTCCTATGAACAATCCCTTCAGGCCTCCTCTGGCACACGGCTGCCCCTTGGGCTCCCCCATGCTTTCATTGATCTCCTTCTACTAGTTCAGGCTGCTTCTTCTTTGGCTCTGGGCTGAGCTGTTCTTCAGTCCTTTGCATAAACTGCTACTGGCACCTCCTGGTCACGGCTCAAACCACAGCCTTGGAGCTTATACTCAGGCCGAAGTCCACCCGCCACGCGGCTCAATGCTCGGTGCTGCTCCCAACTTATACCTACGTGTTCACCTTCCTCTGCGGAGAGGGAACAGCTTTCCTTCCTCAGGGGTCACCTCTTTTAGGAAGTCCCCCTGCTGAGCCCTGAGCTGCAGCTCCTGTCACCTTACAGGCTCTGGGTAGGTTCCACCGCACCCCGACACACTCATCTCCTTGGCCCTTCGGACCTGAGCAGAGTCTTTCCCCAGACACCCCAGGTGGTTCCCATCAAATGGCCCTGTCGTCCTTCCGTGCTGTCCTCCAGTTGCTCTCACCACCACAGCCATTAGGCCCCGGCACTGACAGGATGTTCATCCCTCCCCAGCATCCTCTCAAGTACTTACACGTCAGTATTACCAGGCATCCTCGGAGGCGGAGAGGAGAGGATGTGGAACCCCAGCCCTGGCTCAGCAGGACACCTTATTACATAAAACACCTAATTTTTTTACCCACTATAAAAATAATCAAAGTGATCGCAATTCAGGACAAGCATCTAAGAACATAAACACCCAGAGGGAGCCTGTTATGACTCAGTGGAAACAGTCTGTATGTAATACTGGATTTCCTCTATTATATATTTAGAAAACAACGATTCTGTCACTTCTCTTGTTTAACGTGCCTAGAAACTCTTTACTTTGGCATTCTCATGACTGCTAGGCAGAGCCTAGAGCGGACGGCAGCTGCCAGGCAGTGTGACACATGGGGGGCTGGGTGAGCACAGAGGGGGCACGCCTCAGGTGTGGGGGAAGAGTGAGTGCCCTCAGCAGGGGTCCTCAAACTTTTTAAACAGGGGGCCAGTTCACTGTCCCTCAGACCGTTGGAGGGCCGGACTATAGTTAAAAAAAAAACTATGAACAAATGCCTATGCACAGTGCACATATCTTATTTTGAAGTAAAAAAACAAAACGGGAACAAATACAATATTTGTATTTGCATGTGGCCCATGGGCCGTAGTTTGAGGACCCCTGCTTCAAAGAGATGGCTAAGCTCTGGCCCCAGGGTAAGATGGAATTCCCCGAGAGAGCTGGGGTGGTGGAGCGGAGTGTCCAGGTGGCACCCACAGCACCAGCAAAGGTTCAGAGATGAAGGAAAGCAGGTGCACACTCAGGCCCATGTGCAGACCAGCCGGCCAAGCAGAGCCGCCGCATGGAAGGGAACAGGGAGAGCTGCGGACTGTGCACATGGCAGAGCAGGTGCTGGTCTGCACTGCTTTGCAGTTGAGAAAACCAAGGGCACACAGTGAAGTGACTTGTCCAAGCACACACAGTGCGTGCAGCACCAGGCACTGGGCCTTCTCAGTCTGGCCCAGGCTGGGCATGGAAGGGGGAAGAAAGGGGAAGGCAGGGCAGGGCTGGGCTGGGCAGTGGTGGCTCCCTGAGACCCCGCCCTCCTCTCCCCTAGCTGAGCAGCTCACTGTGGTGGGGAAGATCTCCTTTAACCCCAAGGATGTGCTGGGCCGCGGGGCAGGCGGGACTTTCGTTTTCCGGTGAGTGGCAGCCAGGAGCCAGGCTGGAGACATGGCTCTCACAGCCCTTCCCGCATCGTCCCTCGGAGAGCTGTCCTACCCTTTGCCCTCTCTGAACCTCCATTCCCCTACCTACCAGGGGACAGTTTGAGGGGCGGGCAGTGGCTGTCAAGCGACTCCTTCGTGAATGCTTTGGCCTGGTGCGGCGGGAGGTCCAGCTGCTCCAAGAGTCAGACCGGCACCCCAACGTGCTCCGCTACTTCTGTACAGAGCGGGGACCCCAGTTCTACTACATCGCCCTGGAGCTCTGCCCCGCCTCCTTGCAGGAGGTGAGGCTGGGGCGCAGGGCGGTGTGGGTGAGGGCCGGAGGGTCCTGGGCTGCAGTGACCTTGCCCTTGCTGCTCCTCAGTACGTGGAAAACCCAGAGCTGGACTGCTGGGGCCTGGAGCCGGAGACAGCGCTGCAGCACCTCATGTCTGGCCTGGCCCACCTGCATTCTCTACACATAGGTACCCACCCAGCCCTCGCTCCCCATCTCCCACCCTGCCTTCCCCACCTGCGCTCAGCTGCCTCCCGCTCTCACAGTGCACCGGGACCTGAAGCCAACCAACGTGCTCATCACGGGGCCTGAGGGCCAGGGCCGAGGCAGGGTGGTCCTCTCGGACTTCGGCCTGTGCAAGAAGCTGGCAGCCGGCCGCTGTAGCTTCAGCCTGCGCTCAGGTGTCCCCGGCACAGAGGGCTGGATGGCACCTGAGCTCCTGCAGCTCCCGCCCCCCGACAGTCCGGTGAGTCCTCCATCACCTGGCCCAGGGCCTCCTGCCCAGGCTGCACATCACACTGTGTGAGCCGGAACTTGCTCCTTCATCTGTAAAGTGGGCTCATTCATCCTTTCCTACCTAGAGCAGTGGTTCTCAACCAGGGACTATTCCACCACCCAGGGGGCCCTGGGTAATGTCTGGAGATATTTTTGGTGACCACACGTGGTGGGTAGGGGGGTGTTGCTGGCATCTGGTGGGTAAAGACCAAGGATGCTGCTAAATATCCTTTGACCACGCCCCATAAAAGTTATCGGGCCCAAAGTGTCAATAGTGCCGAGGTTAAGAACCCTGAGCTGAAATGGCTTTACCTCTTCACTGTGCTGCAGAATCACTGGGCAACTTTAAAAAGTCAGCTGCCAGGCCCCACACCCAGTGACCCCAGCCCGATCCGCTGGGGCAAGGCCAGGGTCTTCAATGCAGCAGCGTAGAGAAGCGCTGGGTGGAGGGCTGGGAACGTCAGATGAGCGAGCATAGTTGAAGCAGTGTCTGACCCTAGAGACATGTACGTTTGGGGCCCCAGGGTTGTGTGTGTGGAAGTTGACAGTCATGGGCATAGATGACAGCGGTACAAAAGGACAGTCGCTGGGCAAAGCTGCTCCCACGCCTGATGCCTGATGCCTGACATCTAGAGAAAGCTAGAAGGGGCCACCTGCAGGCCCAAGGACAAAGGCATGGCTAGGAGCCTGTCGGGTCCTTTTGCTTTTTAATTAGTGGCCAACGTTTTCACTTATGGGAAGTTGCACCTAAACCTCTGGAGTTGTGGAGCCTCTTGGGAAGGCAACCAGCAGAGCTTGGTGCCAGGTGGCTGTGGACAGGCGCCCCATCTGTCCTCACCGCTGCCTCCTGCCACACGCCTGGCGGCTCCCCTTCCTGATGCTCCCTGCTACATGTGCGGGAATGGCGCCCAGAAACCCAAGCTAGAAGCTCAGTAGGGGCAAAGACTGGGGTAAAGACCATGGGCCTTCAGTGGTGCAGAGGGGAGGGACCTAGGGATAAGGGGCTGCCTCTCAGAAGCATCCCCGAGTTCTCCTCTGAGCCAGACACCCCGGGAGAGGTTAGCCTGCAGACTCCGGGCGGCCTTCCTCCTCACGCCCCTTCCTCCGGCCCAGACCAGCGCGGTGGACATCTTCTCTGCAGGCTGCGTGTTCTACTACGTGCTTTCCAGCGGCAGCCACCCCTTTGGAGAGAATCTTTATCGCCAGGCAAACATCCTTGCAGGCGCTCCCTGTCTGGCTCACCTGGAGGAAGAGGCCCATGGTGAGTGGGACCTGACCCAGCAAAGAAGGGAGGAAGCAGGGCATGAGGCTGGGGGGCCTAAAGCCACCCTCTCCCCCCGCAGACAAGGTGGCTGCCCGGAGCCTGGTGGAGGCCATGCTGAGCCCTCAGCCGCAGGCGCGCCCCTCTGCTCAGCAGGTGCTGGCCCACCCCTTCTTTTGGAGCAGAGCCAAGCAGCTCCAGTTCTTCCAGGTCAGGAGAAACCTCGGGAACGGAACGGGGTAGCAAGTCCCAAGTGTGGGTCCTGAGCAACAAGAAAGGGGAGGCCAGATTGGCTAAGAGAAAGGGACTTGTCTACCTGCACTAGGCAGCCCGGCTCCTCGCCTAAACCAAGATGGAGCAGACTCCTAACTGTTGCCATCTTGGCGCTCCAGTCCACTCGTCACCTCCTCCCCCCCACCCCCGCAAGCCGCCCCTTGTGAGAGAGAGCACACCTGCTCCTTTTAGCCCCAGTGGCCACTCGTGCTGAACCTGTGCCCAGGTAGCCCATTCCATCGCCAAGACCCTGAGCAAAGCACCCTGTTCCCGAGCCAGTTTGCTCTGTGAGATGGAGAACAGTACCCACCCCTGGGCTGCTAACGACCTGGTGGGACAACAGGAGGGCGGGCTCCTGGCCTTGAGGCCTCGGAAGCTGGTCACAGGCTCAGGAGCTCTATGGGGCCCTAGGACGTCAGTGACTGGCTGGAGAAAGAGTCCGAACAGGGGCCCCTGGTGATGGCGCTGGAGGCAGGAGGCTCCGCCGTGGTCCGGGGCAACTGGCACAAGCACATCACGGTGCCGCTGCAGACAGGTAGAGCCGGGCACGAGGGGGCTGGGAGGGGAGCCCAACGGGGCCGCTTAGCCCACGACTTCCCCGCCCACAGATCTGCGACGGTTCCGGTCCTATAAGGGGACCTCGGTGCGAGACCTGCTCCGAGCCATGAGGAACAAGGTGTGTCTGGGGCTCGGGCGGGCCTGGCTCTTGGGAAGGCTTGGTCTCCGCTTCCGCTGAGCCAGGGCCCTGCTCTAACCCTGCAGAAGCACCACTACAGGGAGCTCCCGGGTGAGGTCCGGCAGGCGCTCGGCCAGGTCCCCGACAGCTTTGTCCAGTACTTCACAGACCGCTTCCCGCGGCTGCTGCTCCACACGCACCAGGCCATGAGGAGCTGCGCCTCCGAGAGCCTCTTCTTGCCCTATTACCCGCCGGCCCCAGGGACCAGGGAGCCATGTGCAGGAGCTGCTGGGAGCGGAGGCCGGCCGGCTGAGGAGCCAGGCCTGGGCTGAGGCTGGCCTCACATGGGAAAATTCCTGCAGAGGCTTGGAAGCCTGGGGAGAGATGTTGGAGCAAAGGTGTGCCGAGCGCCCAGGTGCCAGACACCCCTCAGAATACAAGAAGAAAAAGGCTCTCATGTGTTTAATGTGTATAAAGGCGGGGAAAGGACAGTCCTGAATCCAACAGCAACATTCTGTACATACAGTGCGGGTGAGAGGGAAGGAAGGGGCCATAGAACCCACACGCAAACATGTACAAAAATAACTTACACAGCAGCCCCATCTGTAATGGCTCTCCACGCCCAGGGCTGGGGCACACTATAAAAACCAAGGCCAGGGGAGCTGACCAGAACGGGCCAAGGTGCTGGTGGGGGTTACGGGGGCACCAGTCCCAAGGGGGCAGGCCTACGAGGAGGCCTTGAGGCGGTTGGTGGCTGAGCGCGAGCTCAGCAGCTTGTCCACCATGGTGCGGGCATATCGGAGCCGGCTGGCCAGCTCCTTGGAGCAGCCAAACTCCTCCAGGAGGCTCAGGCGGTACGTGCGGAAGTCCCGCTTCTCGTTGATGTAAGTCACGGCGGCCATCAGCGGGCACAGGATGAGCTTGGTGTGGTCCTAGGAGGGAAGGAGGAAGGACAGATGGTGACCAGTGAATTGAAGGTCCAGCTGTGTATGTGGGGGGAGCAGAAGGAAGACAGCCCAGCTGGTTGGGGGCCCTCACCCCACTCTCTTCCTGCTGCCAAGGGCAGTTCCCACACCTCCCACTCCCCACCCAACCCAAGACCCCCACAGGCACAGACCCCCACGCCCACTCCCGCGGCCCGGCTCACCTGGAAGAAGTTGATCTGTACACAGCCATTGCTGAGGTGCAGGATGATGGCACTGCGGGTGCGAAACCAGGTGCGCAGGTAGGGCAGCCGGGCCAGCTCGTCACCTTCCCGTGGTGTGATATTGGCCCCTGCCTTCAGCAAGTGCTCGCTCATGTAGTTCCGGAAATACTTAAGGAGGGTGATCTAGTGGGAGTGAGAAGTCCAGAGTTGGAGCCCCAACCCGGCCCACCTCCCTCCCGGCAGCACGGGCCACGCGGGCCGGCCAGCACCCACCTTCTTGATCAGGGAGTTGGGGTGGGAGTTCACGGTGAGGTAGGACTCTGTGCCGTCGCGCTCTATGTACTGCAGGCTGTCCCCGTCGTTGTAGAGGATAAGGCGAGTCGAGTCATTGAAGAGCACCCCCACGCTGTTGTCACACAGTTGGTATCCTAGCGGTAGTGGGGGGAGACCTCAGAAAGGGGAGCAGGGAGCAGGGGGACATGGGGAGCTGGCACTGGAGGTCTGGGATGGAGCTAGGAGAGCTGGGAGAGGATCTAGCAGCCAAAAAAGGCAAGAGGCCGGAACAGGTCAAAGGGTCACAGGCCGCCTGGAGCCACCCACCCATTCTGGAAGAAACCTACCAAGGCCGTACTTGTCCGAGTAGTCCACCCACTTGCTGACCCAGAAGATGGGGATGCAGGCGGGATCCTCGGCCTCCTCTGGATGGAAACAGACAGATGATTGGTCAGAACCAGGCTCTTACCCTCAGTGAGCAGTGAGCAAAACCCAGCCTTCAGGAGCTTGCATTCTAGCCATAGGGACAGAGACGAATCAAAATAAGTATGAACAAAATGTTTACGTTGCTTCCATCATGGTGAGAGTGGCTGGCAGATTCTCTAGCTTTCTAGTTTTGAGTGATTCAAATATTGTGAGAAGACAATTCCAAATACATCCAAGTGTTATACACAGTGACCGCAATAACCCTTCTCTAATACAGAAATTCCATATGAAAACTTTAGAGTCTGTGGGGTGAGAGGTGCTATAGATCATATAAAGCAGGCACAGGGATGCCCGGTGCTGGGAGTGGCGCCAGGAAATGCTCGTGAGGGGCCACCAGAGCAGACATCTGAGAAACACGAGTGTGAGAGCCATACAGAGCTGCAGGAAGAACGCTCCGGAAGGGACAGTGTGCGCAAAGCTCTGAGGCTGGAGCATGTCCTGGTCTGTTATTTCAACCATCTCGAAGGCCAACCAGGAATTCACTGAACAGAAGAAACTGCGGACAGGTACCCAGGCCGCAGTGAGGTAATGGGAGATGGGAGGCAGCACCCATGAGTCAGAAAGGAAGGGCCAGATCATGGAGGGCCTTGGGCATCAGGCTAACTCATCGGGACTTTAATCTACAGGAAATGAGGGAACTGGACAGATTTTGAGGACAGGGGCCTGGCCAAGACCCACACTTTGCGGGCTGAGACTCCCTGGTCTCTCGCGATGCCTGGAGCAGCCTCGCCCCAGGCGGCTGCAGTGCCCACCTTGCCTGACCAGCCCCCGCTCCGAGGGCTTGGAGGCGTTGACGCTGTGCAGCTGCTGCAGCATATCCCCAAGGTGGCAGTCGACCGCCTCGTTGGTCTCCCGGACTGCAGGTTCCTCTTTCTCTCGGGGCCGCTCAGGCATGGGGTTCTCCGTACCTAGGAGATGAGACGTGGTCATTAGCTGGCACCAAGCAGCAGGTTGGGAGGGTAGGGACCCTGTGCCCCAGCTGGTACTCTCTCCCCAGAGAAAATCCCTTTTAGCTGCTATTGCTTGCTTTGGGTGAACCTAGTCAGTGTCAGGCTCTTAGAGCTCAGGCTCTCACAGGCACGTGGTGCTCACTAGTACCTCCAGCACCAGGCAAGCCCTTTAGGAAGGATCCACGGCCACACAGAGTCAGGCACTCAGAATGACAAGTACCTTCAGCGTCCAGGCAAATGGGAGGGTCAGTAAATGGCAGACCAGCAGGATGAATTAAGCAGGCACTTAACAAAAATGTAAGACTGCCCACCCTAAAATGTGCTTTATCTACTTCTATGCCCAACAGCCTGGAAAGACCCACACTGAGACGGGACATCGGTCAATCTGAGTGGTGGAAGCATGGTTTTCTCTTAAGCTTCTCTGTTTAACCCTTTCCCCACCACCATATGCTTATTCCCCTCGTGAAGTATGAAACCCTTCTTTACAATATTTGCAGATCAGAGTTTTCCATTTTAAAAACGATGCTGTGGTAAAGACTTAAGTGTGAAATATTTCAGATTTGCCTTTAAAACTCTAGCCAAAAAAAGGAGGAGGATGTGGAATAAATATAGGCAAATGTAACTGACTTTTGAAAATGGATGATGTAATACATGGGGGTTCATCATACAATTCTACTTTTTTTAAAATACATATTTATTGATTTCAGAGAGGAAGGAAGAGGGAGAGAGAGAGAAACATCAGTGATGAGAGAGAATCATTGATCGGCTGCCTCCTGTAAGCCCCCCACTGGGGATCGAGCCCACAACCTGGGCATGTGCCCTTGACCGGTACTGAACCTGGGACCTTTCAGTTCGCAGGCCGATGTTCTATTCAAACTGGCTAGGGCCAGTTCTCTCTACTTGTGGGTAAGTTTGAAAATTTCCAGCATAAGAAGTTTTTACAAAATGTTTTGTGTCCAAAAATTAAAGGCAAAAGATAAAAAAAGCAATCCTTAGCCCTGACTGGTTTGGCTCAATGGATGGAGCGTTGGCCTGCGGACTGAGGGGTCCCAGGTTCGATTCCGGTCAGGGGCATGTGCCTTGGTTGCGGGCACATCCCCAGTGGGGGGTGTGCAGGAGGCAGCTGATCGATGTTTCTCTCTCATCGATGTTTCTAACTCTCTATCCCTCTCTCTTCCTCTCTGTGAAAAAATCAATAAAATATATTTTTTAAAAAAGCAATTCTTAAAATAACACTATTACATGATAGCCCAAAGAATAAATGCCCATGAGTCCAGACTGATATAATTGAATAAATAAATACATGGGAGAGAAGCACCAGCTCCTCCTTACAGAAGTATTCCCATGAATGAATGTGGCCGGAACCAGGAGAGAAACATCACAGTCAGAACACCATGGTAACAGCTGCCACAGGCAAGAGCCACCAGGAGTGCTAGCATCAGTGAACGGAGCCTGAGGAGCAACAGTCTGAGAGAAGCCCTGGCAAGGTGCGTTTTATTCATCAGAGAAAATGGTGCTGCCGCAGAGGAGCCCTTCAGACCCACCAAGACCAAGTGATCAAGACTGACATCACTGCCCTGGCCCGTGGGGCTCAGTGGTTGAGTGTTGACCCATGAACCAGGAGGCCACAGTTCGGTTCTGGTCAAGGCATATGTCCAGGTTGCCAGGTTGGTCCCCAGTAGGGAGCATGCAGGAGGCAGCCGGTCAATGTTTCTATCTCTCTAAAAAATCAATAAAAACATTTTTTAAAAAAGAAAAAAGACTGACATCACCAGTAAAAGAAATGTCAAAAAATTAACCCCCAGAGAAAAATAGATAATCCTTAAAATAACAGTATTAGGTTATAACAGAAACAAATGAACTTATACATTAAATTGGCATATATTAAATTGATGCTATATCCACACAGAGAAGAAAAGTATTTCAAGTGATCTTTTTTTTCACACTATATTATCTTTTTAAAAAAAATATATTTTACTGATTTTTTTACAGAGAGGAAGGGAGAGGGATAGAGAGTTAGAAACATCCATGAGTGAGAAACATCGATTAGCTGCCTCCTGCACGCCCCCTACTGGGGATGTGCCCGCAGCCAAGGTACATGCCCTTGACTGGAATTGAACCTGAGACCCTTGAGTCCGCAGGCCGATCGATGCTTTGTCCACTGAGCCAAACCGGTTAGGACCACACTATATTATCTTTAGTGAAATATATTCTAAGGACAAATAGAACTGCAAGAAAATAAAACATTCATTTAACAAAAGGAACTAGTTTATATATGTTGAAAAATGTATGTATATTAAAGTAGGGAGACGAGCTTTTCAGTTTAAGAGAAAAGAAATACAAACATAAAATCAAAGAAGTAAAAACCCTAAAACATTATTTAGAATCACTTACAAATTATCAAAAGAAAAGCAGTAACTTCACAGTAGAGAAAAAGATTGCTATAAAACAAGATCGTATCAACATTAAATTTTTTGAACCTGATAACTGCGCCATGTGCTGTGGCTTTGTAAA